GTGGCTGGAAAAGTCCTACTACGTGTCCTGATCGTGTCAATTCCTACGTTAAAATTTTCAACAGCTCCCAACTACACTCAAAATACATTCCAAACCCTTTAGCATCGATGCAATGGCTCAGAGAAGCTTGTACGTGCTTATTTGTGCACCTGGGAGTGGCTAGAGGACTAAGGTGCTCTCTTCCCGTGCAAACGGTACCCTCCAGCCATACTGAATCTCTTACAAGTCGCCTGAATGGACCAGGTCAGGGGAAGGGAGATAAGCCCGTCCAAGAAACAGGGGCTTGGACCTTCCAGATGTTTCTATATTCCCATGATCAAGGACTTATCAACATATCCCAACTGATGAAGGCACATTACCACTAACACACACACACACACACACAAAAGGTTCTGTTTTTAAAGCCTTCATAGGTTCTGGAGACATACGCCACACTGAAGCATGCATCTGGTCCACTTACCAACTAACCCCTGAGGCTGTCCATTTTCAGCTGGACTCACTCCTCAAGGTAGCGGATCCAGCTGCCACGCTGCTTGGGTCCTATATGGCCCCATGGGCCTGACAGCGCCCCCAAGTGGCTGTGACACCGTGCGGAGCCCCTGACAATCTCCCACAGGAAAGCATATCACAGACCCCTGGAGTGTGAGCAAAACCGTGCTTTTCCCTGCAAGTACTTACTATACTGTGAGAGCCCCCGGATTCTTCTGGCATGATGTATGCAGGATGCACACTGCACAGTGGGCCATGAGGCCCCAGGCAACACCTGAACGAAACACACTCTTGTGTGCAGGTGGGGAGGAAGTTCCAGTCGGATGGTTAGCTCGCAGCCCAGACAGCAGCGAATCGAGGCACGCTGCACTGTCCCCGCCCCCACAGCCACAGTCCCTATCACAGGTCAGTTCAGTAAGAACATGAGCCTGGCTCACAGGAGGTTCTGTGTCAGGTGCTCACACCGGATGGAGCCGAGCATCTGGGTCCCCCAGATCCTTGTGGGGTGTCCCCAGTGAGCACGGGGGAAGAGAGTCCCGTCAAGGGAGGGACTGAAAACTCCACTATGCACCTTCTGTTTCAGGAGGGAGACGGGTCCGAGGTCTGGGCACAGAGGACGCGCTGCGAGTGCTACCCACACAGCCTCATGGTCAGAACATGGGAGACTAGTGACCAAGTCTGTGGGAAAGCGTGTAGGGGAATTGTCTACCCCGTGCCATGTGCGCACACTGAAGACTGCACGGCAGAGGAGTCCCTCCATAAGCCAAGGGCAGGGGGCTCTCTGTTCAGTTCACCACCTTCCCCAAGTCACCGGCGCGTATGAGGCAGGCCCACCGCGGAGTGACCATGGCAGCTGGGATGAGGCTGGGCGGGCTCCACGCTGTGGATGCTTCTCTCCTGGGTTGATCTGGGCACTGCCTGGGTTACTATCCAGGACCCCTGAACAAAGTAGCTTAAACTGGGTGCTTTACACCCACAGAAGCCTGTTCTTTCAGATCTGGAGGCCAGAAGAATGAAGTCGAGGTGCTGGCGGCGGGCCGCGTTCCCTCCTCCAGGAGGGCCCCTTCTTTGCCTCTTCCGGCTTCCAGAACAGGTGGCCGTCCCGGGTGGGCCTGGGCTTGCAGCCGCACGCAGCCCGGCTGTCTGCACTGCCGCCTGGCGCCCTTCCCTCGGGGGGTCAGATCTCCCTCATCGCACAGGGACACCATCACTGGGGTAGGCGCCACCTCATCGATCCGAGGATATCTTATTTGAACACAGGCACCAGGGGTGAGACTTGGACATGTCTTCTGGGGGGATGTGACGCAACCTATAGCACCCCTGCCCTGGAGCACCCGCGCTGCTCGCATCAGGTCCACGCCAGGCCCTGGCATGGTGCCACTGCCCAGTGGGGAGGGGATCCAAGCAGCCACCTGCTGGCAGGCTGGTCACACAGGAGCACTTCCACTGGGGAGTGAGGAGAATGTTCTCCTCCTGGAAAGATGGCGTTTGCTCTGCACTGCAGGCACCATCGCCCCCCAATGCCATCGCCACTCATGGGTTTCTGGATGTGTGACAACCAGATGCTCCCTCCTGCCCCCGCCGCCAATGTCGCCTCTGACCTGGGAAGCAGAGGTCTGCTACGCATCGGCACATGCCCTTCCCGATGCCACCAACCACGCCAGCACCCAGGAGCCCCACAGATGCGCGGTGAAGCCCTACTCAGTGCTGAAACATGCGTGTAGGGGACGGGCATCTGCAGGGAGAGGCTGCGATCCTGCAGGCTGGGTCTGTGCTGGGACCAGCAGCCAGGAGAGCCTGGAGTCAGGGCGAGAAGCCTGGGGACCCCGTTAATGACCACAATGAATAACCCACCAGAAACATCTTGTGTCTCTGGGTCTCCGGGTCCTCCGGGCCTGGGAATTTTCATCCTGCTAAGTGAAACCTCATGGTGACAACAGTGGTGTCCTCCAAGCGGACGCTGACTCGGCCCCGCTGCCACAGGGGGCCCCTCATGCCACTGAACCATCCGGCAAGAAAGGAGTCACGGCACCATCGTTGGGGGCGAGTTATCCCAGCCATCGAGGGCAATGTGACCTGCTGCTCCCCAAGGGACACAGAGCCAGGCCACAAGACATCCTCCGGCGTGACCCAGCCACGTCCCAGCAAGCGTGGGTGAATATGGCCATTCAGCGGACGCCGGCGGGCTGAGGACCCGGACCAGCATGTGAGGTGTGCCCCCACGACAGGCTGACAGCGCAGGAGCGGAGGGACTCGTAAATCCACAACCGGGACCTCCAGCTGCAAGGCCAGCGGCAGAGACCGGCCTGGGGCATCTGTGCACACGGCCTCTGTTTGCGTGTAAAGACACGGTCCACATCGCACACATTCACATCCATGCGGTTTTATCTAAGGAGAGTGGATTTGGCTAACTTCCCAGTTTAGCCTGTAGGATAAAGAATGTGCAGGTGGGATTTTTGTTTCTTTGTGTTCTTTTTCATGAAACCGCTTATGGTAAGGTGCGGAGCTGCTCGGATCTGACGTCCGCAGGCGGGAGGGTCTGGACATAAGTACACATCCGGGAAACTGTCCCACCAAACGTCCCCTCACCTCCAAAGTCTCCTTGCGTGCGCCATGCGTCACTATTTGTTGTGCTACAATTCACGGCACCGAGATGGAGACGGGGACGGATGCGAGTCAGCGCCCCACTGGGAGAGCGCTGGGAGCAGGGCAGGCAGAAGCGGGGACCCGCTGGCGGGGCCTTGGGGGGGGCTCTGCAGGAAGCGGGTGTATATGGAGTGACAGAGCGGGGACAGGCACGGGCCTTCCCCCCGACCTGCTGGCCCTCAGCCCCTTCCCCACTCACTCTTGCCAGGCCTCCCCTCGGGTCCGGGGTGGGAGGCCTGGACGAGCTCAGAGCACGGGGGTGGACACGTTTTCTCCTGCTCCCCTCGACGCGGTCACCGCGGCAGCAGACCCCTGGAGTCCGGCCTGACGGCAGGCAGAGAAGGCTCCAGGGCACCCGTGGCGTTGTCCGGGAAAGCGGCGGGGGTGTGAGCTCCAGAGCTGCCACCCCACACAGGGGTGCGTGTGGTCAGGACGCCGCCTGGTGACCTCGCCAGGCGCAGGGCTGTGGCCCCAGATCGGCAGGGACTCCTCACTCCTCTCCCTGCAGCTCCCTCCTCTCCACACGTCTGGGCTGTTCCTGACGGATGGCGCCATCGGCATTTTCCCTGCCAACTCACTGCTCCATTCATGATCTCTCTCACCCGCCCTGGCGTCAGGGCGGCCCAGGACTCCGACCTCGGGACTCCACTAGACGTGAGCCTCCTGCGGGCATGGACACTGCTTGTGCGCCTGGAGTCTGATCCTCTCGCACCTCCGACCACGGGGCACGGCTCAGGTGCCCCGCGCACAGTAACTGCCGGAGAAACACTGCACCATCAACCTCCCGTACCCTGCGAACTTCAGGCAGACCCACCTGCACGGAGTCGGCCGGCCGGGCCTGCAGGCTCACTGCTCTCTGGGGCTCTCAGAGGCACCCCCAATTCTTTGCGGTCTGAACCAAGCTTGCTCATACCCGGTCTCAAAATCCAGTACTCATTTCTTCAGTAGCATTGCTGCCTTCTGGTGTGCAGAACCAGAGTCCTCAGCACTACATCCAAGCCTGGCACAGCCCACCTCCCGAACAACGGTGCAGGTGCCCCTGAGGCGCTGTCCCTTCACGGCGGCCCGGGACCCTGTCCCACCATCCCTAGGCAGGGCTTCCCCCCCCCCCCGGCCCCCCGGGCGCCTCGGGGGTCCGAAACCCAGGTGGACTTCCCTCCACGGCTAGGCAGCCACGCCTCAGCTCCCCGGGGCTCAGTGGGAGGCTCCCCCCTCGGCCGGGGGACCTGGACCCCTGGCTGACTCCTGCCCAGGGAGGGCGCCCCAGGGCTGTCCTTCCGTCTGTCACCCGAGCAGAGGGAGGGTCACCAACCCGCCGGCCCCTGCACCTGTCCAGGCCAGTCTTGCACTCCCGGCCCCGCCTTCCCAAGTGTGACAATACTATCATTTAGTTCGTTAACTAGGATAAAACACAACTTCCTTCCCAGACTGCCGCGTGTTCTATGCAGCCAAACCACCCGATGTGTCACCACGTTCCCCGGCATCCAAACACGGCTGCTTCACCCTTTGGATCTGCTTCAGGGCGGAGGGCGGGGACCCCGGGCCACCCCCCGCACGTGCCCTGCGGCGTGGGGGTGGGGGTGCAGGGGCAGCCCCCCCGCCGGCACCCACGCCTCACGTGTGCGCTGCACACGCGAGGAAATCAACTTTAACCTGATTCCGTGTCCCGCGGAACCGAAAACAGAACAGGGCGGGTCTCGGGCGGTGTGACCGGCAGGCGTGGTGCTTCTGGAAGGCAGGGTCTCCCCAGGGCCAGCCCCCCAGGTCGGCGGCCACCGCCCGAGGACAGACGGGCCGGCGGCCGCGGCAGCGACTGCGCGCGCGCGTCCTGGTCCGTGCGGACACGACAAGCGCCCTGAACTCACCTCGGACGGGCTGCCGAAGCCGCGTTCCCCCGCGTGTCCGCGGACGGCCGGGGCCGGGAAACACGCAGGCTCTCTCCTCGGGGCGGCTTTGCCCCCGCTGACGGTGAAGGGGCGCGGCCGCAGAGGCGTGAACGAGGCCCCGCTGTTCGTGCCGGACGCGTCTGCACAGAGAGCCGCCCGCCGCCGGCCGCGCCCTGGGACGCGCTGTGGCGCCTTCGCGCGCAGGCGGAAGAAGCGAGCGGCGGCGGGTGACGGTCCGGGTCCAAAGCCACGCACACGCACAGTCCCCGAGGGCTCCCGTTGTGCGGCCAGGGCCGTGTCGTGGGGTCGCCCGCTGAGGCGGGGGGCTGGGCATGGACACGGAGCGGCTGCGGGCGGCCGCGCAGCCCCGGGTCCCCTCACGAGGGCGGACTATTTTCACGTCCGGAACTACTTTCTGGGCCAGGGTGTCGGCTCCCAGCAGTTTCCGAGAGAAACCGGTTGTTTACCCCCGGGAACCTGGTCAGAGAGCGAGGCTGGCACTCCCTGGTTTCCCTTCTGAAAAGGCAAAACCGGACACCTTTGATGCCACTTACGCCAAGGACATAAACTGAACAAGCCCGTTCAGCCGGACACACCTACACGCAGAGAATCGCGCCGGCTGCGGGCGGTGAGCGAGCAGGGCGCGGGGCGGGCGTCGGCCCACTGGGGCGAGGGGGGCTGTCGCCGCGGCGCCGTCCCGTCCATGGCCTCGAACCTTAATACCTCTTCAGTGAGGGAAACCGCCTGCCTCCACGTCTTCACAGATCCCACAATGCGAAGAGAAGGAACTCACATTCAGTGTTCGGTTCTGGTTGCTGAGCTCTGTCAGGGACAGGCGGCACCCATTTCCGCCTCAGCGCCTGGGGCGCCAACACACACACACACACACTCATATGCAAACACACTCTCAGGTACTCTCTCGCGCACACTCAAGCTGACACACTCACACGTGCACGCATACACAGACCTTTCCTTGGTAGCACACTTCACGGAGGCTTAGAAGGATGAAGTGAACTTACGTTAAAAATGTAAACAGATCAGGGCGTCTGGGGGCTCAGTTGGGTTAAGTGTCTGACTTGAGCTCAGGGCGTGATCTCAAGGTTCATGAGTTCGAGCCCTGCTTCGGGCTCTGAGCTGACAGCTCAGCCTGGAGCCTGCTTTGGATTCTGTGTCGCCCTCTCTCCGCCTCCTCCCTCCCTCACACTGTCTCCCCCCACCCCCGCCAAAATGCAAACAGACCATAGCCCAGGTTTTAAGTCCCTTGACCCTTGTGGCTGATTCCGGGCCCAGCCCCACGGGGACATACCTCTTCACTGGTTCCGCTGGCACCTCTCTTGGTAGCTTCAAAGAACCCCACTTTATTGTAAAAGCAGTCCAGGTTTTCCTATTCCCTACAAAAATAAAAACCCTAAATTCCAAATCCTTTTATTTATCCATTTGTTCATTCAGTGAACACATGCTTACTCAGTACCTACTGGATGCTACAGACATAAGAGTGAGCAAGAACAGGCATGTTTTCTGAACCTGTGGGACGCAGAGAACATAGCGGAGGCAAACATATGGACCCAAGAACAGGGCACATGGAAAACTCTGGGTGCAACAAGTTCCACATGTGGAACGTACATAGGAAAATGAAGCAATGAGACAGGAGTATTTGACTTGTTCCGGGAGCCCCGGGAAGAATTGCCTGAGATGTGATGATAACGCAGGCTCACATCTGGAGGACGTGGAAGGGCTCACAGGGAGAAGGGGTGGAGAGAGGAGAAAATCAGTCAGAGTGAAGAGGATGGGAGCCCCAGCGGGGGGGGGGGGGGGGGGGGGGGGGTGGCGGGGAGGCTCGTCCAGGGAAGAGAAAGACCCGTGTGCTGGCTGCACAGACGAGGTGCTGTGTGGTGCCGGATGAGGCTGGGACAGAAGGAAATGTACAGATGATGTCGGTCTGCATCCCAGGAGGGGCAGAGAGCCGGGAGAGTTTGAGCTGGAGGCGTGGTATGAACAGGTGCTTCGTTTAAACGGATGGTTTGCCCGGCAGTTAGAGAGTGCACTGATGGGCAGAGAGGTGATGCAGACACTGGCCAGGAAGCTAGTGAAGGTCCAGGAAGTCACTGGAGATGACTGTCACTTGACCCAGGGAGGCAGAGTGGACAAGAGAAGTGCAGGGTAGGTTTGAAGGACAGTTAGAGGGTCAAATGGGCAGGACTTGGTGAACAGCTACTGGAGAAATGGAGTTAGAAGGCAGGTGAGGGATCCAACATGATTTCTAGATTTCTCCTCCTACCTATGCCAGAGTAACTGACCCATCACCAAAACAATGTATGCAAGTAGCAACTAGGTTTATCAAAGACGTTTAACCACATTGGTCATCGAACAAAGGCAAACAGACACCAAAATGAAGTACCGCTGTATACCTATGGCCATGTCGGAAACTAGAAAATCTGTCAACACCAAGGAAAGGCACGTATGTGGAGGAGCTGTAGTTCTTTTAGATCGCTGGTCGGAGTGGGAAGTGGTCCCACCCATTTGCAGAAGAGTCTGGCTGTGGCTACCAATACGTGCCTCGAATGTGCTGTGCCATGTCTGGCTTCCGGGTCTTCACACTCAGTGGCCTCTTGCCTGACGTGCTCTCCCCTCCCCTCGGTCAATTTTTACTTCTTCAAGCTCAATGCAGACATAACTTTTGAAGCTTTCCCATTTCTAAAAGACCAGGTAACGCTCACTGTTGAAATACTCTCAGGGTACTCTCTACCCCTTCTTTGCATAGTATCCAAATAGAGAATTCAAAAATTAATTTACTTATTTAAATCATTAACTAAGATGGTAATTTGTTATTTAATTTTGTACCCCTCCACTGAAATGTCCATGCTGTAGGGGCAGGGCTTAAGTCCCTCTATTCCTGCTATGGCTTCAGCACCCAATATGTGTTTAAATGTTTATAGAAATGAATGAATAAGTGAATGAATGAATTAGTGTAGGAAACACAGGGAGAAGAAAGAAAAAAGAAAAAGTGACGTGCTTGATTTTGCATACCATGAGTTGCATACCATTGTGGACTATTGAAAAGGCTTCTCAAATTATTCAGAATTTAGCTTTAGTAAAACTTGAATTGATTGAATCATCTTGCTCATTTAGGGAATGTAGGAAGAGGAGACATTTGAGCTACAAGGAAAGATGATGGTAATGGACAGGGTTTAACCTTGAATGTAGTGAGCAAGTGGGCAGCGGTCATTACCATTTGGGAGCAACTTAGGTTTTATTTATTTGTATACAATTTTGATTGCCTGTTTGATCGAAAAATACTCATTATGGAATATAAGGATATTTTGGTAGTAGCTTTATGTTTAATTGCAGAAATACATAGAAGTAAACTAAAATCTGATGTTATGAGCTCACATTTTGAAACATTCAAGCCCGTTATTTCTAAAATCAAGACTGGATAAGTCTAATTTGTACAGTGTACTAATTTTATTACATTTAAGTCTGAAGGTATCTCAAAATGAAAAGTTCAAAATTAATTTTTGTACACTTGAAACTAATGTAACATTGTCAACTATACTTCAATCAATCAATCAATCAATCAAAATTCAATTTTGAGGTTGGATAGATAAAATGCAGCAGACTGTGGTCTTCCCATAAATAACCCAACTAGTTGTCCAACTCTTTGAGGCCTGAATATGCTTCTATTTTACTCCTGGCTCCAAGATTTATAACTTCCTCTTATTTATATTGAATTCTTCACCTTCTGTTTCTTTTCTTCCCCGCTCCTGTCTTTCCATAGCACTTATTAGGTGCCATTATAAGCAAAATACAGCCTTAGGCATTGTGTGTAGAGGATTGAAAAAAATACATGTTTTTCTCAACCTCAAGCAAATTCTAGTTGATGAGGTAGGCCTGTAAAAAAACAATGAAACAACCACAATCCAACATAATAAATACCAAGAAAGATACAGATCACCATGGTCGCCCAGAGGGAGAAGTTGACAGTAAAGCCAGTGGAGGCTGGGGTCAGTGGGTCCCGAATTCTTCCCAACATTTGTAAGTTGCTTTATGACCAATCCAAGACAGAGGCTGCCCATAGCATCTTATGCACTCATGTGCCACGGCGTCAGGGCCTTCTGATCAACAGTGTAAGTCTGTGAGGCGCCTGGGGGCTCAGTCGGCTGGGCATCTGACTCTTGATTTTGGCTCCGGTCATGGTCTCATGGATCATTGGATGGAGCCTTGCATCTACGCTGACAGCACAGAGCCTGCTTGGGATTCTCTTGTTTTGATCTTCTTTATAATCAACTCCCACTTCTTGCATTAATAGCAATCTGAGGATAAAAATTTTAAAGCCAAATCTCAAAAAGAAGCTAAATATGACATTGAATGCTTATATTCCCTTTACTGAATATCTCAGGTCCTCTTAAGTGGTTCTATGCAGAGAGAACTTAATCGTACTCAAATTATTTGTGTTAAGCTTGCTTTTTCTCTTAACCAGGCGAACTCCCTGAAGTCAAAGAGCAGGTCTTTAATAGTGCATTACCAACAATTACAACGATATGTAGTTAATATATTCATCTTGTAATTTTCAAAACTCTTTCACTTAGATCGTCTACTTTAATTCAGAAGACAGGTGGGGGAGGGTGAAAGGTATTCTTATGCTTTCTTACAGGGTAAGGAGAGAGGAATGTTAGCAAGTGCTCAGATTGCCCACAGTAAGGAGGGGCCGAGAGTGAGGCGTGCTGAGCCCCTCTCCTTACTCTGGTGGTCCTCTCTCTCTGCTGCTTCACCCCTTCTGCAGCAGCCCGGGCTCGGTGGGGTTTAATGAGTTCATGTAAAAGCATGTCCTTGGCTCGATTGAGCTGTCTATAAATCCTGAGCCCAACATTCTCTAAGGGAAATTTCCTCATTTCTCTGAATGAAGGAAAGAGATAGTAAAGAATTTGAAAGCACTGATAACCTCTTTCAAAAATGTGAACTGAGTGGTTGTTGGGAAACACGAGTAGAAAGGAAGACAGGACATATATATGGCACAGAAAAAAATACCGAGGCCAATCCTCCGTGCACTTTCCAATGCAGTGCCAAAGAGGACAAATGCCGGCCAATGACAAATGCTCTCAACCTTACCCGCTGCGGCCATGACGCGGCCACGTCAGCCAATGACAGCGGCACCCCCTCCACCCAGCACCTGGGGGTCCGCGGCACGCTCAGTCGCCTTCTCTCCTTTGTCAATGATAGGATCTATTGATGCACAGACAGCGTGTGGGGGAGGAGGTGCTGAAGCTGCAGTTTGCAGACCATTTCCATAACTTTCGAGAGAACTGGCAGGTCGGAAATGAGTCGATAGTTCAGATAGATTGTCAGGTAATAAGGAAAGTCATTAGAACACGGGAATAACTGCAGCTGCTTTAAACTGAGCAGGAATTCAGCCAGATGTCAAGGTGGGAGCTGCGCAGCAGGCTGTAACAGAAGCCCCGTCTTGCCTGGACCCCCCAAAGAACCATGTGGGCCGTGAGTTCAAACAATAGGTTGACAGCTGCAAGTCCCAAATTGCCTCCATCTCTCGTGCAAGGGTGACCACAGTGAAGTCAAGAAAGACAGATTGATCTCGTGTTCAAGGAGTCATGGTGCTGGGGGAATAAAAAACAGGGACTGGGGCTCAGTAGCCTCAATTACTTGTACGAAATGAACTGGGAAATTTTGCCAAGTCGAGAAATTAAAAGCCA